ACAAGGAGCCTAATTGCTCAATTACTTTACGTAAATAGTGAATATGCTTTGTTTTTAATACTTAAGGCCATTTGTTTTGCCAAAAAAATGTTTTTTTTTTGTAACTCACTCATAAAAAGATGTAACTTCCGTACAAAAAGTTTTAACTTCATATTTTATCAAATGTAAGTTAAAAAATTTGCTATGAAAAACAAAATACCCTTTATAAGAAGTTGCTGATCACTTTACATCACATTATATGTTTTCATAATAGACTTCAATTATAAACTAGTAAGGACTAATAGACTTCAGCGAACAATGTTTTCACACCCATTACCCACCCACTCACATAAAACCACCAAATGTTTTACAAATTTTTCCACAAAAGTACTTCATAACAATCAGACCACTTTACATATTGATGTTTTTTTTTGCATTTTCAACAACATTTCTCCTTTCAAAGTTGAACTTCGACAATAGGAATTCTGCTGCATACATAAATCTGAGCTTTTGCAGAATTTCATTTTGAGCTTTGACTCCATCATCTGTAGCAGCACTCAGAAAACCAGAATCCCATTTGTCTCCCTGGCCTCGATATGTTTCCAGATGGCGCATTACAAATATGCCACAGTCGACATGGTTACCATTATATCGCCATTGCATACTCAGCACTCTTGGGATCTAGTTTGCCATTTTTCCAGCATTGTGTCTGATCTTTTTGCAATATGCAATAAACCCTTCCACCTATTTTAGAAGATACATTAATAGACTAAAAAAATCCACATTTCATAAACAGCTATTTACCATTTGTTTAAAACTCTCGTCACATTTGTCTCCAAATTGCGCTCCTTCTTCAAAGATCCTGTTGTTTATTACATCAACTATGTTTTTTTAAGTAGAAACATTACCCATAGTAATGTTCATGTTTATGAATTGGAAACAAGACCTCCAATTCATAAAAAGCATTCATGTGTTTATTATTTGTTATTCAATGTCCCCTCCTGCTTGCTTGATTTCAGTTTCAAACCTTTCTAACATTTTTTCTTTGGGGTCATCATATCCCAGTAGAAACTGTGCCTGCATATTCACATTGATTTAAAACACATGAGAATAAGTTTTTTTTATGAATTTTCTACAAAAATTATACATACATAGACCATGGTAGAACAAATGAGTGCACATTTTGGAGGATTGTTCTTCGGTTCTCTGTCATTCAGCAGTTTCACCCTAGCATCTATTATTGAGTTATCCACCATGTCTTCTTGTAGCGTCTGGAACTCCTCATGGTAGACAAACATTGATTCATCGTCTTGGTAAAACAATTCACTTACATAATAACACATATTATTATACATCATATTGGAATCTCATGTCTACTATTTACATCTGACATAACGTGAGACTACATTTTCTACTACTGTAAATACATTTTTATTCACATGAATAGAAAAGCATTTCTTACTTTCCAACTTCCTTTGAGAAGCCATAGTCTATGGTAATCTTTTCTTCCTTGCTCATCTCCTTGTATAATCTTCTGTTCCGCCTCAGATACGGTGATCTGAAATTCCCTCTACAACATCCTCTGCTACATGTCCACTAGCCTCTATTCAACTCAATGCCAAGATCGAATGATGGCATTGAGAATTTCAGAAATGCTGCTTTTTCAAGTTTTTCTAGGGCTTTCATGACCTCGGGTTCATTGAAAAAACCGTCATCTTCCTAAAGAGTGCACATCTCTGCCAATTGCTCTTTCTCAGGTTCTTTCTCTTTGCCATTAGCTTGGCGAATGAAGTAGTCTGCTGTTGTGAGGTATATCTTTTTCAGGATATCAGAATTTGGGAATTTTTTTGATATTGTTGATGGCAGCTTTGAGAATTCGATGAATGCATCACTGAATTTATGTGCCACTGTAACAATCTCCTTCACACAGTCCTATAATAATTAAAATATATTAGAAAACATTGTATCACATTCAATAAAATATATTATATAAACAATCATATCAGTTTACATTTTGAACTGGTAGAGGTTATATTTTTTATGGAATGAGTTACATTTTTTTAGTGTTGTAGTTTACGTCGTATTGGAATTATAAGTGTATGGTGCGCAATTCACACTATGTAAGGTTACATTTTGAATCATACAAGTTAAATTGTTTTACACACACAGTTACATCATGTTTATTCTTCAATCACACATGGTGTTAAATGATACCTTACCTCCTTTATCAGCATTCCATCATCTTCTTTTTCTTCCTCTCTTTGTTCTTTTTCTTCTGCTTCTTCCACTGGCATTATTCTTGGCATCACCTTGCCGAGACCAAACCCTAACTTCCTCTCATCTTTGACTCTTTTATCAATTTTCTCTTTGTCCCAGATTCTTAGAGTTGGATAAAGTGTATCCAACATTTGTCCTTTGAATTTTACTCTGTCAAAGTAACAAATCATAAGAAATAGCAACGGTCCAGTAAACATCCTTGATGGCTGAGTCTGCCATTCTTCACCAACATCCATCAGTGACCTTCTAATGTACTTGGACCAATTTAAATTCTTAATATCCTCAACTTTCACTAAAGACAACAATATTTTGAAATTGCTCTTGATACTCTGGTTGCCTCTGATGAGGCATGACACTGTAAAGACAACAAAATTTTCGGATGAAGCGATCTCCAGACTCTTGATCCTCAACCATTTTTTGAATCATCTTTGTTGTCTTAGGGCTTCCTTTATCAATACCCCATTCTTCTCTCCACTGCTTCAGTAATTCATTGTATTCTTCACTTTCATTTTTGCCATTGGCTTCTTGAACATCAATATTCCCCATTGGCAATCCAAATACTTCTCTAACGTCTTGATCTTCAATATCTAACAACACACCATTTGTGAGTTGTAGTTGTCCTAAAATTGGTCTGAAATTTTTCAACAGAAACTCAACAAAGTCTCCATAGAATCTTTCAAAGCTGAGATGGAGTAAGCCTCCAAAGCCAATCCTCTGCACTGCTGATTTTTATTATCATCTAGCAGTTTAATCAACTTAAGGAAAGGAGCTGGTCCTACTCTTGTTCTTAGGTTGATAAAACTGGACCTGTTGCTTCTCTCTTGCTCTTCATTTTCATCATTTGATTCTTTAGGTACTTCCCTTTTCTTTTTTGGAGGTATTTTTCTTTTTTTGCTTGTTTCTGGCTTATGATACTCAGAATTAGGATTGGTTCTTCTCTCTGTCCTGTTCGAAGAACTTCATCTTGATTTTCTGTTTGAGGATTATCATTTGGGGCAGTTGTAGCACTCTTTGTATTCCTAGTGTCATGCAAAATAACATTAACAATTATAATTGAGTGACATGTTATTCTACACAGTTTACATAGTTGTTAAGAAAATTTACATCACACAAATACATTTGAATATTCCCTTTTTGCATTGTGGATGTTTTATGATAAAGAATTTACATAAATTCTAACACGAGTTGCATATTATTATATGAATGTGACATAACTACTAACTGAAGTTACATTACTCACAAGTAGTTAAACAATGTACAATGGACTTGGTTGCAACCATACTAATGCACACGAGTTACACACTACTAGATTTTCACCCGTGCGATGCATGGGACATAGATTAAGCAATATTCATATGAAACAGAGTACTATTTATTAATATTATCAGTTAATGTGTAAATGAATATAAATAGTATAGATGTAATACACAAACAAAATTTTAATTAAACAAAAGGTAGTTACGAATCCTAAGTGGTACGAAGTATGTTTTGGAATAAGAAGAAATAAATAAATATTATCATAAGGTTTTCGTAGTCTACACATTCATATTCGTAACATTTTTATCAAAATAAATAACTAAAAACTTCAAGACACTTCCTAGCAAAATACATTTTTTTGCATTGAATTTGAAGATTCCCATACACTTGTAAGGTAAGTTTAACTCTATTTAAATATGTAATTTTATTCAATAAGTTTTAATCCTTTTTAAGTGATTGATCCCAAATATATAACCAATATAAAAGTAGTAGACAAAAAATTGACTTTAGTAACTTTAGTGACTATAATTGTTTTCAAATGTTACATTGCAATAAATATAAAACTCACTCATAGTAACTTATAATCACGTTTTTGTCTATAGATTTTTTATTAATAATATTTTAGGAAAAACCTCTTTTAAATATGTAAACTTTCTCTATAAAATATAAAGTACTCCGTATATTTCCTTAAGAATGCATTTATATTGTCATTAATCTATCACCGTAATTAAGCTACAGAAATAAACATGATATGTGACGGAAGGAGTTTTTGGACAAATCATTTTTTATCTATTTTTAGCTACTTTTTCTGTATTTAAAAGTTTGCTACACTTTTCTATTTGAAATGTATTTAGGGAAAAAGTGTGCTACATCTTCCTTTTTTTAGTAAGTTTTTCTTTTAAAAATGTTCAATCACCCTTACTTTTTCTATGTTTTATCTTCTTTTTCCTACTTTTTCACCTTCTCTCATATTTTTTCTACATTATTCATTACCCTTACTATTTTCCCTTTAAATATTGTGTCAAAGCTTAATGTACTGATCTTTTAAATGCGGAGAGAGTACAATGTAATAAATATCTATATGTGTAACATTTTCCTTGATTCAATAGATTCAACTAATTCACTTTTCCAATTGAAACTTGTACAATTTTTACTAATTCATCCTGTTAAGAATCTTGATTGCTCATTATGCTATGTAATAATAAAAATAAATATAATTATATAGTATTTTATAACATGAGAAATCAAGCATTATTTAAATTAATATTTCTAGGGTTTAATAAATAAAAGTCATTCTAAATACGGAGTATAATTAATTCACAACTCAACATGTTCACTCATAAATTTACCAATTTTAACACATTCACATTGATATCGCAAATTATACCGTACACCCGGATGTACGGTCCTCACTTCTCATCGTAGCCATTTGCATACCATGAACATCTTCAGAAAAACACTGAAGTAAATGATCTCACTTCTCAACCTGGAAGTGCATCACAGATTAACACACAATCGTCAATGTTTGCATCTAACCAGTTCGGTCCATCAAACATAGCTTTCAGTCCTAATTTTATGATGAATCCTGCATTTGTTCCTACTCACTCACCCTTTGGGTATGGATTTGCTTTTCATGATCTTTCAAACTCTTCTAATATTCCATTGGAGAGTGATGTTACTAAAACGACCAAAGCAGCAAAAAAAAGTAACAAGGTCATAGAAAATACTAGTATCTCTCCCACGGGAGGAGGGAGTAAAAACTGGAGCAAAGACGAAGATGTAGCACTAACGAAGGCATGGCTATATATTTCCGTTGATGCTGATGTCGGGAACAATCAAATGATTGCTAATATGTGGAATCCCATCTTCCAAGTTTGGAGGGAGAATATGGGTACTTATGATGAGTCTCGCACAACAAATGGCTTACAAGCTCGTTGGGGTAAGATCGTAGCTGCAGTGAATAAATTTCATGCTTTATATGAACGACTACAAAGACATCCAAAAAGTGGAGCAAGCCATGACGATATGGTAATTTTTCTTTCTATTGCTTTCTGTACATTGTTATATTTTTATTCTCACTTCCTTTTACAAATCACAATCTGCCTTGTTTCACATGTGATGTTTGAGCTGTTTAATGTGTTTATCTATGCTCAAGAGTTGATTTTTTATTTGTAGAGGCGAGAGGCAATGCACATGTATGAAGATATTAATAATGGTCAGTCTTTCAAGTATGAGTATTGTTGAGAGATCTTGAAAACAAATTCAAAATGGTGCGTAAAGGAGGTCACTAGGAGCAAAGATAACTCTAAGCAAAAAGCTGCCAATGGAAGTGGTGATACCCGAGTAACAACCCAACCAGGGAGTTCAGGAAATGAAGGTGAAAAGTGTACCAATGTAGATGTTAATGATGATGGTAAATGCAATGATATTGAACGCCCTGAAGGAAGAAAGGCTACTAAAGAAAAAAAGAGGAGGTTGAATGATGAAAAATTAGTAGTTGATGCTTTCAATAAGTTACAAACTACAATGGAAAAACAGATTTGTATTAGTCAAGAAGAGCTCAAAATGAAGGGGGAAAAGGACTTAAAAGACTTTGAGTTACGAGAAAAGATAATGGAAAGAGAGTTGAAGCTAAAAGAATATGCTCAAAGATCGAAGGAGAAGGATCAACAGTTAAAAGAGGTTGCTCAAAAGTTTAGGGAGAACGCTCAAAAGAGACAAGAACAAGAGCGTATTTTGAATCAAGATGTCACCAAACTTCCCGTAAGCATTAGAGAGACATTTGAGATGTATCAAGCTCAAATTTTAAAGGAATGAGAAAAGGATGGTCTTTTTGGTAATTGAATGTTTTTGTACCATTTTCTGCATTTACTTTTACTAATAATAGTTATGAAAAATAAATTACTTAAAAACTGATTGTACTTTTATTGTGTGGCAGGTGGGAATTACAGTTAAAGAAGCTCAAAACTTGAGGAAGCTAAATAGTAATACTTGCTGGAACACTAGAAACATTATGTGTGAAGACTAGTTATTTATTTTTTATGAATTTGTTTTTGCTTTGGTAGTTTGGAACAATTGTTTTTATTGTTTGGATAAACTTTAGGTCTGTGGAGTAATAGACATGAGATAGTAGACTTTTTCTAGTTTATATTGATTGTGTCCACTTATTCTTTCATTATGTTTTATTCTTAGTATTCCACCTAAATGGGGATAAAATGAGCTGCTGCAACTTTAGTATGCAATGTTTATAGCGGGTTAGAGCATTCAAATTGATCTAAATGTGAACAATTTGTCAGAATTCTGAAAACAACATAATACTAAATGCATTATTGTTGGTTGGAAAGTATGCACACCTTCCCTTAGCTTTCTTGGGGTGTTTCTGTTCTTCCTTTTCCGGGGTGGGGGGTGGAGTCATATTGCTTATCTTGCTTTTTCTTATCCCAACTTTTTAAAGCCACGTTCTTTTTGTGCAGATATAGATATTAATAACACCAAACACTTTGCAGCCTGTTACTTGCTTGGTGTTATTGGTTTGGTACTTGAAACGTTTTTCCAAACTTTCTGACTTGTTGAGTTGCTTCAGTGCAACATGTTGAGACTGGTAAAAATGGCCAGACCACTACTCAAAGAGAGCAAATAGAGCTATGCAACAGATAAAGAAAAAACAAGTGCAATCACAAATGAAGTTAATTATGGAACAAAAATTTTACTTGCAGTCAAGTTCTCACATATAGATATAAATGAGCTGCTGCCACTTTTTTATTTGTTAGAAAACCTTTTGATTTATGGATTATTAGACATAAATAGTATACTTCTCTAAGGTTGATGGGAGTTGGACAGAGATAACTCTGTTTATACTATGAGTTTTTAGTCCCTACTAGCTACCTAGTTTTTGGAGTTAATTTTGTAGGCTGGGTGAAAGAAAAGAGAAGTTAACTGCTGCTGAGCCATCTATCTTACTGCTTGCAGGGATTTTCCAAACATATGGACATGGTTGTTTCACTTGAAACTAAAAATATTAAGGACAAAACATGCATTTAACCAGACACTCCCAAGAGTAATGCTCTTAAAATATTTGCATTTTGACATTTTTGGATTTATCACAAACTCAAGGTTATTTAAAATTTAACTATTCAAGATTGGAGTTTAGATGTAAATGACCTTCTAATACAACACGCCTTGATTTGTAGCCCATAACTTACTATAAAGTATAAACATTATTTTTTTCAGCCTGAGTAAGACTTAGCAGAAATCTAAATAATCAACAATTCAAAATAATTAATTAAAAAACAATACAAATACAACTAACTAAAATGGTAATATAAAAAAGCCAATGAATTACCCTTAAGAGCTGAAGTTTAAGAATAGAATATAAGAATTACCCTTGAAGAACACAACAACCCCATTCAGATTTATCAGAAATCTAAGTAATGATTAATTTGAAATAGACTAAAGGGTCAAATAGGCCCTTGAACAAACTTAAAAACTGCAAATCACCTCTTATATAGTAGGCTCTGTCCGGCCTTTTCCATTTGGGGTGGTTCCCGGTGGAATTTTTTGATGAAATTATTTGAGCATCTTCTTCATCAAGTCTAGTTTACTCATACCATGTTTCAGATACAAATTCAAACGGGAAGACAGTCAAATGATTTTCTGAAATGTACTGCGCTGTTTAACTGCGCAGTTATCTTTAAAAATTCATTTAACTCCCTTCCCAATTGAATTTTTAGCTTACATTGGGTATGCGTAAACTAGACTTAACGAAGAAGATGCTCAAAAACATTCATCAAAAGATTCCACCGGGAACCGCCCCAAATGGCGATGGCCGGACAGAACCTCCTATATAAGGGGTGATTTGCACTTTTTAAGTTAGTTCGAAGGCCAATTTGATTCTTTAGCCTTTGAAATAATAAATTAAAAAACACTACAACTAGAACTAACTTATTGTAAATAATCAATCGAAAAAAATAAATAATTCTAAAAAATTTGACACAATTTTGAGAATAATGATTAAGAGTAGAACATCATTCATCGAAATAAAAGTAAACATCATTCATCTTTTTCTTCTGCTTCTTCCACTGGCTTTATTCTTGGCATCACCTTGCCGAGACAAAACCCTAACTTCCTCTCATCTTTGACTCTTTTATCAATTTTCTCTTTGTCCCAGATTCTTAGAGTTGGATAAAGTGTATCCAACATTTGTCCTTTGAATTTTACTCTGTCAAAGTAACAAATCATAAGAAATAGCAACGGTCCAGTAAACATCCTTGATGGCTGAGTCTGCCATTCTTCACCAACATCCATCAGTGACCTTCTAATGTACTTGGACCAATTTAAATTCTTAATATCCTCAACTTTCACTAAAGACAACAATATTTTGAAATTGCTCTTGATACTCTGGTTGCCTCTGATGAGGAATGACACTGTAAAGACAACAAATTTTTCGGATGAAGCGATCTCCAGACTCTTGATCCTCAACCATTTTTTGAATCATCTTTGTTGTCTTAGGGCTTCCTTTATCAATACCCCATTCTTCTCTCCACTGCTTCAGTAATTCATTGTATTCTTCACTTTCATTTTTGCCATTGGCTTCTTGAACATCAATATTCCCCATTGGCAATCCAAATACTTCTCTAACGTCTTGATCTTCAATATCTAACAACACACCATTTGTGAGTTGTAGTTGTCCTAAATTTGGTCTGAAATTTTTCAACAGAAACTAAACAAAGTCTCCATAGAATCTTTCAAAGCTGAGATGGAGTAAGCCTCCAAAGCCAATCCTCTGCACTGCTGATTTTTATTATCATCTAGCAGTTTAATCAACTTAAGGAAAGGAGCTGGTCCTACTCTTGTTCTTAGGTTGATAAAACTGGACCTGTTTCTTCTCTCTTGCTCTTCATTTTCATCATTTGATTCTTTAGGTACTTCCCTTTTCTTTTTTGGAGGTATTTTTCTTTTTTTGCTTGTTTCTGGCTTATGATACTCAGAATTAGGATTGGTTCTTCTCTCTGTCCTGTTCGAAGAACTTCATCTTGATTTTATGTTTGAGGATTATCATTTGGGGCAGTTGTATCACTCTTTGTATTCCTAGTGTCATGCAAAATAACATTAACAATTATAATTGAGTGACATGTTATTCTACACAGTTTACATAGTTGTTAAGAAAATTTACATCACACAAATACATTTGAATATTCCCTTTTTGCATTGTGGATGTTTTATGATAAAGAATTTACATAAATTCTAACATGAGTTGCATATTATTATATGAATGTTACATAACTACTAACTGAAGTTACATTACTCACAAGTAGTTAAACAATGTACAATGGACTTGGTTGCAACCATACTAATGCACACGAGTTACACACTACTAGATTTTCACCCGTGCGATGCACGGGACATAGATTAAGCAATATTCATATGAAACAGAGTACTATTTATTAATATTATCAGTTAATGTGTAAATGAATATAAATAGTATAGATGTAATACACAAACAAATTTTTAATTAAACAAAAGGTAGTTACGAATCCTAAGTGGTACGAAGTATGTTTTGGAATAAGAAGAAATAAATAAATACTCCCTCCGTCCCTAAATAAAAGCATCTGTTTCCTTTTCGGGCCGTTCCTAAATAAAAGTTCTCTTTCCTTTTTTGGCAAACAAAACAGTGCAAAATAGTGCCAAACAGTGTCCAAACAGTGCCGAACAGTACCAACCAAACCCACTTTCTTAAGATGTGTGTAAAATGAATGGATACTTTTATATAGGGACGGAGGGAGTATTATCATAAGGTTTTCGTAGTCTACACATTCATATTCGTAACATTTTTATCAAAATAAATAACTAAAAACTTCAAGACACTTCCTAGCAAAATACATTTTTTTGCATTGAATTTGAAGATTCCCATACACTTGTAAGGTAAGTTTAACTCTATTTTAATATGTAATTTTATTCAATAAGTTTTAATTCTTTTTAAGTGATTGATTCCAAATATATAACCAATATAAAAGTAGTAGACAAAAAATTGACTTTAGTAACTTTAGTGACTATAATTTTTTTCAAATGTTACATTGCAATAAATATAAAACTCACTCATAGTAACTTATAATCACGTTTTTGTCTATAGATTTTTTATTAATAATATTTTAGGAAAAACCTCTTTTAAATATGTAAACTTTCTCTATAAAATATAAAGTACTCCGTATATTTCCTTAAGAATGCATTTATATTGTCATTAATCTATCACCGTAATTAAGCTACAAAAATAAACATGATATGTGACGGAAGGAGTTTTTGGACATATCATTTTTTTATCTATTTTTAGCTACTTTTTCCGTATTTAAAAGTTTGCTACACTTTCCTATTTGAAATGTATTTAGGGAAAAAGTGTGCTACATCTTCCTTTTTTAGTAAGTTTTTCTTTTAAAAATGTTCAATCACCCTTACTTTTTCTATGTTTTATCTTCTTTTTCCTACTTTTTCACCTTCTCTTATATTTTTTGTACATTATTCATTACCCTTAATATTTTCCCCTTAAATATTGTGTCAAAGCTTAATGTACTGATCTTTTAAATGCGGAGAGAGTACAATGTAATAAATATCTATATGTGTAACATTTTCCTTGATTCAATAGATTCAACTAATTCACTTTTCCAATTGAAACTTGTACAATTTTTACTAATTCATCCTGTTAAGAATCTTGATTGCTCATTATGCTATGTAATAATAAAAATAAATATAATTATATAATATTTTATAACATGAGAAATCAAGCATTATTTAAATTAATATTTCTAGGGTTTAATAAATAAAAGTCATTCTAAATACGGAGTATAATTAATTTACAACTCAACATGTTCACTCATAAATTTACCAATTTTAACACATTCACATTCATATCGCAAATTATACCGTACACCCGGATGTACGGTCCTCACCGTACATCCGGGTATTTTTGCAATTCAACTCGCTGGGCGGGCTGCGCACCAGCACCAACTTCAGGAGCGATGGAGATTGGCGATTGGTAGGCTGAATTCCGACCTCCTTGCCGTTTGCTGCTGCTACCAATCAATTTGCTTATAAGTAGAAGATATCTTCGTTGAAAACAAAATCATCACAGAACCCACCCTACGGATAATCCTCTTCAATATGTCAGAAGCTATATTTTCAACCACAAAGTGCTACCTCTCATCCATAATCCACATACTTATTTTCCACATACTTATATTCAAGAGTTTCAATTAAACCACAAAGTGCTACCT